GGAACTGCTAGAATATATCGCTTTGAAACAACTACATTTCCATGTAAAAGCATCACTGATCCTACAGGTAATGGAACCTCAATTGGCCCCACAAACTCTCCAGGACCCACAATCTTAAGTTCAATTCCAAACAAGATGTTACAGTTGTTGATGAAGAATACAGTGTAGAAAGTCCTGAGAAAGCCATGGTGATCAATGTGTTGTGGGATGCAATCTCATTCTTATATATATTAACGATATAAATATTGGGAACACAATTATATGACGAGCCATGCCAGTCATTCTTTTTAGAAGAGGAGGAATAAGATCTCTATCATTAAGTTGAATAGTATCAAGTGGTTTAACTTCTTTAACGAGTATAAAATTATAACAACGTCCAAACTATGTAGTAATTTATCATTTTCCATTCATCCACTTTTTGGACCAGATTGTGTTCATTTTTAGAAATACCCGGCTTTATCCTTATCTATCATGTCAAAGGCACACTGAATTATCTTCTTTGGCTCAATATCTGAAAAGACATTAGTATGCAATTCTCCCTCAATCTTTTTGTTAAATTTTATCATGTTTGGGATTTTGATTTATATTTTATGAAAGATTTTGAAAACATATATATTTTTTATTAGTTTGTTGCAATGATTAGAAAGATAAATCATAAGAATGGAATAGATCCTAAATTCTGCGAAGAAAAGAGATTGAAAGATCTAAACTCGTTTAATTTAAATTTATGGAGATTTATCAATTTTTTAATTTAAAAATAAACTCAGTTACAAACAAGTGTAGCATAAGCATTATAGAATAAAATTTTATTTCTAAAATATTTTATTTAAACACTAAGATGTGTGGTATTTCTTCTAATAATATCCATTGATTGGGAGTAAACAACATCGTTCTTTAGTCCACTAATTAGTAAGATTCTCTGTAATATGCCTTCTCAATTACAAAGGAAACTTCCCAGGTTGATTCAAACTTGCCACCCATTTTGTGATGGGCTAAAATCAACCTTCGAAGAAGTACCAAGTCACCTATTTAGAAAGTTCTAAGGTGAACCAATTTATCATGAGCTTGAGCCATTTTAATTTGGTATAACTCAAGATTTTGTTGAGCCAACATACATTTTCCTTAGAAACATTCAAGTTCATCAAGCCAGAGTTTTGCATTCTCTTATGTTGTAATTTTGATGTTGACTTCTATCTTTAGTGAGGGGAGTTGTACTTCAAGGGAAGCGTCGTCTTAGATCCATACACTAAGATATATAGTGTAAACTGAGTTGGAATTGTGTATGTTCGTCTGTAAGCCCACAAAACTTCCAAAAATTGTTCATGTCATTCTTTCATATCATCCAAAATCTTCGATATTTGGACTAGTTTTTAGTTGAAGTCTTCAACCAAGCCATTTATTTTTGGATAGTAGCCTTAGTGTGGGAGAAATTTGGTGCTTCACCTGCTAAACTGATGTGCTACAACTACTATTAATGATCAACAATTTTAATGATGCCTTGGAACTATGGCTAGAGGCTACAACATAATAGAGATTCAATAGTGTCTTCTTAGCTGAGGAACTGATAGAAAATAGTAGTATTATCATCAATAGAGTGCGATCCATGCTGCAAGTCCTGAAAACATTGATAACTCACTATTGTAAATATAAGGCAATAAGGAGGACTGCATTTTTTTATGAATTTATGCAATGTAAAAATCTTGAATTTTAAGGAACGCGCATAATCTACATTTATTTGCTACCAGAAGGCCAATGCCTTTACTGGTATCCGAGTGGCAATGAGAGGAATACGACAATATTTTATGAACTTTCAACTCGATGATTTATTCCACAATATTTATATTTGTTGATCTAATTAAAATATTTATTGTTCCATAGACCTCCATTAACTTTAAGAATATCGGCCTTAAATTCGAATAAATAGAGCCAAGCATCACGACGATCTTGTGCAGGATGCAGGGAAACTAGTTGTCAACTAGTTCACTACTAGTATGGTTATCTTATCTTTGGTTTCAGTAGGCCTGTCAAAAATCTCATCATTAGGAAGCACCACAATTCACAAATTTTTCTTTGAGTTCAACAATGCAAAAAAATAGAATAATAAAAATGATTAGAAACAAAAAAATATTATTTCTTTCTTTTCTTAAATCCCATGCTATTCAAAAGTTTAACCCTATGTTGTTTAAATTATAGAACAATGCTTGGCAATATGACATTGTAACCCATAGAAGTATATTTTGAGAGTATACAAGTTCTTGCAATTATAAATATTGCACAGGATCTCTAAGGCTTTATTTTGATGTTGGTTAAATTAGAATTTTATTTTTAAAGCTAGATAAAGCTTATGTTTATTTTGAATTTGATTCAAATTCTAATAGGTTCAACATGAACATAACTTTCAAAAACAATTTCATACATAAATCAAACGCAAATATAACAAATTTAAACGAGTCCAACACGATCGAACATGAACAAGCTTCCAGCTCATTCAAACTCAGCTCATTTAAATGTCTAGCGCAGACCAGGACGTTGAAGGGAAAAATGTTATTGGGTCAAAACTTGTAGCTTTTGACGTAGCAGGTCGAAGTCCTTGCAATATAGAACATCCTCTAAGTGTTAGGTCGGCCACTTGATGGTATGTTACAAGATCAACAAAAATTGATACCAACTAATATAGCCCCTCTATGATGAGCAAAGGAAAAGAAAGCCAATAACACTGATCAATCTTCACTAATTGATGAAAAATCATAAATTGAGAGTTAAAATAATTGAAGAAGCAAACACACAATCCATGGACAAGATACACCAAAAACCAATCTTGATAATGTCCTACAGTTATTTTATTCACATGACCATGATAAAATAATTAAAAAAAATCAAAACCCAATCCCAGATGGCAACATCGACCATATATAAGAAAATTTAAATAAAGAAGAAAGAACATAAAAAAATTATAAGTCCACACAAAATGATGAATTACTCAAAGTGTATCTACATTTAGTCAAGATGCGTCATTTTTTACCTTTGACTTGCTTCGCCACCTTTGAATTAACTGCAACCTCTTTTCAAATGAGGGATAGCTTTGATGTTCAAAATTGTATGATGTCTATCATGCTCTAATTCTTATAATTTGCTCATCATCGACTGCGTAATGCACAATATCATGTATCCACATATGTTTGCTAGCATAAGTTTGTCATCCAATATCCATCATCACTTTATAATTGTCATCCCGTAACACCATTGTCGCCTGACATCTATTTCCATTTAATGTCCTTTATCTCCCTATGACTAATTGCTTGTCATTCATCATAATTTAATGCCTCCCATTCCTCGATGCATATTATCGCTTAACCTCCATAGCTTCATTAAGTTCATCCTCCCTCAACCCTTGTGGTCAATTAACATTCATTATCATAGGAAGCTTATGGTTCGATGATTTTCATCATCATTGAACATCCACATTATCCCATAAATCTCATTATCATTTAAAATTCACAAATGCTAAACACTCGTCATCCCTTTACATAGAGGGCTTTTTAACTTTAATTGTGTGTGATGTTTGCCTTCTAATGGAAATCATCATTCAATTCTCCAAGTTGCTCGATGCCTATCATTCCTTAATGACTCACTACTTGATGTTTACTATTACCTAATGATTTTGAGCTTAGTTTTAATAGTCACATTATGTTCAGCCCACGATGCAATCATCCCTCAAAGATCATCTTTACTTGGCATCTACAATTGCTTGACGCTTCATTCCTTAACTCTGTCATCATATTCATACTTGTCTGGCATCCTTCATTCCTTCACAACTGTCATTGCTAAACATTCATTATCACCTGACTAATTGTTTTGAAACAATCATGATTGTTTTCCATTCATTATCATTAGATGCCCGTCACCCTCAATGTTCATTATTGCCAAAATTCCACCACCCACTTCCACTCGTGGTCACTCAACATTTATTATTACCCAAAATTCACTAACACTTGAAATCCATAGTTTCTTAATATCAACCATATTCCAAATTTTGTAGCAACTTCAAATTCATCATTGTCCAATGCTGTCCATCCTTCAATACTTATATTGCTCAATGCCCAAGTCACCCATTGATTCCTGATTGTTCAGCCTCCCCTCCTTTCACAAGAACTATCATCCCAACCACATCCATGTCAAATCACAAACTCTAGGTCACTCGCTAACTCTCAATTGTCTAATCTTCTCAGCTTTCAAGAGAAAAACTACACTGACTACCTTCATTAACTGTTGATCTACGATCATCCCATCTCTTCTTTTTTAGGAGAAATATCATTCCAATTATTGTACGAAACCATCAGCATGAATACATCTAATTTCTCTTCGCTATAACTATTAGGAGATGATCAAGTTTGTAATCTTAAGTGGCCTCTATGACCTTCTCACAGAACGCTGTTGCCTCCTTCAGGTCACAAGTATCTCCACCACCGCCAGAAGATTGATCAAACTACCCCCAATAGCCTCCATGACCTTCATGTGCCACAACATTTGATTCTTCATGGCCCTACCATTGCTTTTAAGAAGGGGACTAACATAATTAGCTGCATTTACCTCATCAATCTCATTTTTGTTGCTAAAAACAAGGAACACTAGCAATACTTCAATTTTTCTTGAATTTTATCAATGCCATATTCATGTCTGTAGAAAAGTGGCCAGTTATAAATCATGTCAAATACTAGTAAAAGTTGTGTTAATTAAACAGAAGTCATCAGGGCTTTTCTTTTCCTAGACATGAAGATTTATTTTTTCTATTCGCTCTACTTATCTAATTATGTGAGCTAACATTCATAGCCAAGGCAATACGATTCTCTCAGACACTACAAAAGAAATAGTGAGCGGAGAAAATACATAAATGGATGAGAATGAAGTTGACAAAATATAAATTCATCAAAAAAAGAAATATCAAATAGACTATTAATTCTTAGTTGCAAGAACAGTGAATAACTTTTGTAAGCGATTAATTCATAAATATCCATCTTTCTGCTTGTTCACTGTTTACCTTTACATCTCCAAGGAACTGATAAACAACATATCCAAAATTGAACATGTCGCTACTACAAAAGAATACATAACTGTTCCCTAAATAGAGTCAGGCCTTCCTATTCTTCCAACAGGGAAAACACATAATTATAGGCTGCCGTGTTAGATTGGGATGATTTAAACGGACATATACTTCTTAATCAAAAGATTAAGTACAATAACTTGCAATGATTACATCTTGAACTAGCTGTAGCAAGGTGCAACACGGTTCCATTAACATTCTTCACATAACTCTATAATTTCATTTTCAACTAAAACTTTAGGAAAGAAGATAACTGCAATAGCTACAAACAAATGATATATAATCACATTACAACAAGTAAAAAAATAATAATAATAATAATTAAAAATATATATATGGACAAGAGGTATACCTCATACAGGAATGCTTTGTTTGAATTTGATCTTTAACGATTGTAAGCTTCTTTGTAGAGGAAATTTCTCATCATACAGCCCCATTTTATCCAAATAGAACAACACCTTTTTCAATGTCATAAGATAATCCTCACTGTCATAACCAAACTCTGTCTCTTGAATACTCAAGATTCTTTTCAACTTAGCTAAAATATCACGGTCCTCCCTCTCTAATCTAGTTTGTATTGAGACCAGGCAGTCCAGGGCTTCACCTGTCAAAAAGTACAAAGAAATACAATCATCAACACTTAGTTTATAGGAATGAATAGGTATAAGCTAAACTCACAACCATCATCAATATATTGTCCGCTTTAGCTAATAAGTCTCATGATTTTGTCCCCCTTGTCCAATTTATTAAGGTTTATTCATCCAAGAAGTGCTCTAGCCTTTGTAATCTTAAATTTAGAGTTTCCGATGAAACTATAATCTTTAAAGTAATCTCAATGATTAACAGTTTTGCTTCTCCGTAAATGAGTGGTTTTACAATTAGCTTCTTTCTTATTTAGGTAAATAAACAACTCTTTTATGAATGCCATGCATGATCTATGTAATACTACATAAATTCCAAACCAGCTAATAATTAGTTACTTTTCAAACGGATAAAACGTAGAAATGACTGACTTTTAGTTAAAGCTTGATCATATTCATGAACTATAGTAAAGAAAATCAAAGTGAAAATAACTCATGTCAGAGGCCTAAGGAATAAGTTCAATTCAAAACAGTGAGATGTTTATGAGAGCGTTAAGTACAGAACATACCTACAGGAAGAGATTCTTTGCCGAATAATTTCTCACGAATTTGAACCACTTCAAGAGCAAGGTTCTCAGCTTCTTCATCTTCTTTTAGGTGGTACAAGGTAACCGCAAGGTGTAACATTGGAACAGTGATGGATTGACCACCAGGTTCCACAGTCCTAGACATATAATGCAAGCATGTTCTCAGCAAACGTTCTGCCTCACTATAGTTTTTAGAACGGGAATACGAGGCAGCAAGACTTAGAAGGTGACCCACTGAATTAGGATGCTCAATCCCTTTGTACTTTTCATTGATCAAAAGGCATTCCTTGAGTACTTCTCTGCCTTCATGCTCCCTAAGTATGAAAATTTGATAAATAAGATAGTGAGAAATGTCTCAAATAACCAATTCACAATTAATGCAGCAAACATAGCCAGATGGTAGGGTGCTTTGTCTCCAATCATAAGGCTTTGAGTCTTAAGGCCTAATACATATAGATGTGCCTGAGTTAAAAAACAAAAGTTACAATTAATGCAATTGAGGTCTTAAATATTATCATTTCTCTACTCACAAATGCACCAAATATTTAAAATAAAAATATCCAATAATAATTATAATTATAATATATCCTATTTATTAAGGATTTACTATTCCGTTTCTTTCACCTACATATAGGCATGTTGTAACTCTTCGATGTTTTCTTTATGGTATGAAAGCTTCGATCCAACATCCCCTCTTCCTCACCCATTCTCATTGTCTTTATTGTTCACCATACACCACCTACTCCATATATCCCGCTAGTACTCTCACATCTAAATCGGTTAAGGTGGCCCTATTCATCTCCCTCATTCTTTCTGGCAAACAACCAACACACAACCATCCTTCTCCCATTAAAAAATCTTGCCAACACTGTACTGGAATATCTCCTAACGAACTAACCTCATAAACCAATTCTCTCTGAGTCTTGAGCTCCAGGCTCTCCCCACATCCCTTCCTTGCCAGGTATCACTCACAAAAGACAAATTCTATCAACTCTCATAACCTTTCTCTATCTCTAAACATCAACCAAAAGCCAATTCTCATTCATTGCCTCTTGCTCACTCTAGAAAAGTTAACCATTATTTGAAAGAAGGCTTTTTGTATATATTCTAGATTGAATACAATGGCCATCAATATATGGGTAGATAGAGAAAACATAAGGGGAAAACATCCTCAATTGTTACGATATATTATAACCATAAATCACACAGTGACACATACACATACACATATATACATATATACATATATACATACATAGAGATATATAAAAAAATATACATATACAGATATAGAAATATATAAGCACACACATATATATAAACAAATCAATATAGATGTGCATGTGTGTGTGTGTGTGTGTGTGTCTATATCTATAATATATATATATCTTGCTTGCAAAAAACCATACTTCGGGGTTTTTCCCGTGACAAGACCTACCTTCGAGGCTTTTTTCCTTTTTTCTTGTTTTCTGTAGATCATACCCTATAGCTTTTTCTGGAGAATGTTTGTTTCCCTGCCAACTCCAATGTAATTTTACCTGTAGAAGTCTTCCGCCTACCTAAAAAAACACAGTAGGAACTGCAGTCAAAGAACCCTGCAGTTAACTAAAAGTCAGTTTTTCCTGCAGTTTGTCTACTTCTCTGTAAACTTTTCTGTATTATTTCCTGTAGGAGTCTTCTGCCTATCTACAGACGTTGCAGGAACTGCAATTAAAGAGGATTGTAGTCAAAAACAAGTCAACTTTTCCTGCAGGTTATCTGCTTCCTTGCAAACTCCCCTGCACCATTACCTATAGGAGTCTTCTGTCTACCTACAGACACTGCAGAAACTGCAGTGAAAAAACAACCGCAGTTGTCTACTTACGCGCAAACTCCCCTGCAGTATTACCTATAGGAGTCTTCTGCCGACCTATAGACACTTGCAGGAACGGCAGTTGTCTACTTACCTTCAAACTCCGCTGCAGTATTATTTGTAGAAGCCTTTCACCGACCTACAGTCACTGCAGGAACTGCAGTCAAAGACAACCGCAGTGTTTACTTCCCTAGAAACTCCCAAAGGCACCTTCTTTCCTGGCTTCGTCTGCCTACGCTAACAGAGCCCCTACCGACTCGTCGAGAGCGGCGACATAGAGTATAAGGGGTTTTCCTGGGACAGGAGCATCCAAAACTGACAGATTGAGCAAGTAACATTTGATGTCGTCGAAAGCATCCTGACATGCTCTGTCCCAATGAAAACCGGCATCCTTCTTGACTAAAGAGGAGAAAGAACAATAACGCCCGGAGAGGTTTGAAATAAACCTCTTTATGAACGCAAGCTTTTCCTTTAAGGAGTTCAGTTGCGTTAAGCTTCTAGGAGGCTCCATCTCTATGATGAATTTGATTTTACTAGGGTTAATCTCTATACCTCTGTGCCGGACTATGAAGTCAAAAAATTTCCCGGAAGAGAAGCCAAAAGCGCACTTCAACGGGTTCATCCTCAAATCAAAGTCCAAAGGCGTTCAAAGACGGTGGTTAGATCTGTAAGATAATCTTCTTTTGATCGACTCTTAACCACCAAACCATCTATATAACACTCAACCTCGTGATATAACAAGTCATCAAAGATATGAGTCATGGCACGCTGGTAGGTTGCCCAAGCATTTTTAAGACCGAAGGGCATGAATTTATAACGAAGATGCCAATGGGCGTGCAGAACGCCGTATGCTGTTCTTTCTTTAGGGCCATTTGAATCTGGTTGCATCCAGATAAGCCATCCATGAAGGAGAACATCGCATGTGTAGAAGCGACGTTCATCATCAACTCCGGGATTGCTAGGGGGAAGTCGTCCTTTGGGCAAGCCTTAATCTGGTCCCGAAAATCAATGCAAACTCATATCTGTCCATTCTTCTTTCGAACAGGTACGATGTTTGCAAGCCAAGTAGGGTAAGAAACTTCCCAAATGAAGCCAACCTCGATGAGCTTTTTTGGTTTCTTCGATAACCTTTAGCTCAATCTCGGGCAACAACCTCCGAGGTGTTTGCTTCACAGGAGTGACACTCGGATCAATATAGAGATTGTGGACTACAACCTCTAGGGCTAAACCGGGCATTTCAGAATAACTCCAAGCAAGACAGTCCCGAAACTCCCTGAGAATCTTTATAACTTTAGCAGCCATGGAGGCAGATAGAAGCTTACTAATGTAAGTGGGACTAGGGTCATTAGCTGTGCCTAAGTTGACTTCTACCAACTCGTCAACGGTCGAAGAGACGCCATCCTCCAGCTCGGGAGGGGCCTCTCAGCTCGGGAGGGGCCTCTTTGAGAGGGGCCTCTTTGACCTCAACTTCCTCATCATGGGAGGTAGCGCCCTAGCTATCATGAGATGAGGAGATCATTTTGCACGAGGCACCGGATCTGTCTCTTGACATATCCTAAACCGGATTCGTCTCATGGGAGTCTATTCTGCCACATAGACTTACATATTTTGGCTTGAAGGACAGGCTACCTCAGGAAACAACCCACCCATCATCTAACAACTTAAAAATGAGAGGCGAACAATAATATGAAAGAGGTATATCCTCTACTTTTTCATTGTTATCATATGAAGGCATTACATCAGAGCTGGTTACATGGAATCAAATTTGTAAAATAAAATACCCTTCTCCTTAGACCCGGGTCTAGGAGGCACATAAAAGGTCTTGAGATCTTCGACTGTGGAAGCACGTGCAACCGTCAAAACTTTGCAATGGCCTTGTGGCACAAGGTTAATAGTCAACACCTCATCTGTTAGCATCAACATGGTCAGACGAGGGACCATCATCATTGATGGCGACCAGAGAATCTCTTCATCAGAACTGTCTAGATTGTCAACTTGCGAACCTCCGGGCTTGTCCACCTGGAGGGCTTTCTCTACCTCAGAATCTGTGTCAGAGTCAACACATATCACGACTTTGGAGGTCGACAAAGTAGGGAGCCTTCTAGTCGGTCCCGTTACAAGTGGAGTGCGTAACCTTTCCTCCTGCTTCGCTATCTGCTTGCCTTTGATTAGGCAAGGGCTAGAAAGAGGAGGGGTACACGAACGTCCCATGGTACTAGGAGTTAATGACGCCTTACTATGAGGAACATAATATTCGGCGTCTTCATATATACCGACTTCATTTATGGAGAAGAAAACTCTTCTCCTCCGCGCATATATTTGATGCACTGATGGAGGGTCAAAGATACCATCCCATGCTCGTGAATTCAGGGTTGTCCCAACAAACCTCTAAAGGACGTCTTCCCATCGATGATGTAGAATTTGGCTTCACTCTTAAATTCTCCAAATTGGAGGGGAAAGGTTATGGACCATAGGGTCTTCTGCCCTTTCTCATTAAAGTCATTTAGCATGATCCTGTTGGAGGACAATCGTCGCATGCCCAATGAGAGCAACTCGAGAGTGCGCACGTGAATGATGTTGACGGAAGCACCGAGATCAACAAATATATGGTTTAGAGTTGTGGCGTATACTATAATCGTTATGTATAAAGGGTGATTATGGTCTGCAGTGCCCAACAATAAATCATCTTCGGAAAAGGTGACGGTAACTATGTCTTGTGAAAAATCTGCCTCCATCTTCTCTTCGGTGTAGTAGGCTTGGAATACTTCGGGCTCTAAAAAAGCTCTCACTAAAGCCTCCCTTATTTTGGAGGACAAAAGGAGGGAATTATAGATGCTCAAATATGTTGGCAACCTTTTTAGGTGTGCTAGTACGTTGTAATCCACCTTGTTGGTAGGATTTCTAGCCTCCTTGCTTTAGGCAGGGCCTTCATGAGGATCATCTAGCTCTTGGGTGATGATCTCTTTATCTCGTTTAAGCAAAGTGGGATTAACTACCTTCGAGGGAAGGAGCTTTGCCGCTTCATAGGCAAACTTTCTGGATATCCTCATTAGAGGACCCGACGAGCTCACTCTCAACAGGACACTCCAGGGGAACAAGCTCTATGGAAGAGGCCTGAGAAAAGGGTGTATCAACTACATCTTTCGATGAATCGCTCAAGTTGTCACGGATGCAGTAAGTGTCATCAAAGGAAGACAACAATGGATATTGCTCATCTTCTTCACTAAAAGTATCTGTGTCGGGACTGTGAGAGCTAACCGTATTTGTCGGAGCGTTCAGCCTACCTACAGACACTGCAATAACCGCAATCAATAACAACCGCAGTAGGGATGAAAACTTCAAGTTATACCTCGCAGGATTTTCATCGCCCATTCTTTGATGCTTTCAAATCCAAGTTAAACATGATTTTCAACTATGCTTCAACTTGAGTTGGAGTGTTAGAATTTATATTAGAAAATAATT